CCCGCCGCGAAAAAGGCTCCCAGGCAGGGGGCTCGGGCCGTGGCCCCGCGGGCCGCTGCGCAGGCAGCGTCCGCTCCGCCATGTGGGCCAGTCTGCGTTCGGGGGCCCCCTTCTCGCTGGGCAGGGGCCGCGCTGGCCAGTGCGGCGCCAGCGCCGCGCCCTGCCTGCTGCAGCCTTTCACCTAGCCGCCGAGGCCGCTCGAGAGCACGAAGTAGTCGATCTCCGAGCCTGAGCCGACGCGGCACATGGGGGCTCCTGGCGCCACGACCGTGCCGTCGACCTCCTGCGGCCAGCCCCGAGACTCCAATTCGTGGGGCTTGCAGTTCCAGTCGCCGCCGATGACGTGGGGCACCTTCGTGTAGGCGAGGTGCTCTCCCAGCTGCCCCAGAACTAGTCTCGACTCCGCGTCGAGGCCCTTGGCTGCCACGAGGTGCACCGACATCGCCAGGGACCCACCAGGTACCCCGCAGTTGACCCTTTCGCGACCACTCGGTCCAGAGGCAGTTTGGGTCCCTTGGGCGCGTTGCCCATCCCATTGTTCGCCCGCGCGCCGATGCCCGCGCCGCTGGACAGGCCGCCCCTCTCGGTGCGCGACGACTCGTTGAACGCCACCTTCCAGCCTTCTCTGCGGCAGGCCTGTTCGGCCTCGGGCGCCGCGCCTGGGACCGCGCCCACCTCGTGCAGGGAGATCACGTCGGCGGTGGCCTCCTGCTGCAGCCAGCGCATCATGTTGCCGCGAGACGCGGTGTTGGTTGTGTCCAACCGCCAAGCCCCGACTTCGCGCCGAGCCTGCGCGGGCCTCCTCTTGGCCTCGGCCGTCGGAGCCACGGGCGCGCTTGGCGGCTGAGAGCTCGACCTGCGGCCTGGCACGCCTCCTCGAGCTTGCGGCGGTTCTCGCCCTCGAGCTGGTCGACTTGGGCAAAGAAAGCCACGTGGTCGTCGGCCGCGCCATCTGGGCCCTTGTGGTCCCTGCGCCGCTCGCCACCTGCAGCAGGAGCAGGAGGAGTACCTGCAGCAGGCGGCCCAGGCGGCCCAGCCTGCTCGCCCAACGTCCTCGCTGGTCGCGGCCGCGCGCCTGGCCTCGGCGATCTCAGTTCGGATGGTGTCGACCCTCCGCTGCAGGACCGCGCGCGAGGCCTCGATGCTGGCGGCCTCGGAACCTTCGGCGGTGACGGCTGCAAGGGCCTCCAGGCCCGCGACCGCCCTTGCCAGCTCGGCGCCGCGGGCCGAGTTGGAGCCTGGCGGCAGGCCGGCCTGCTCCATCCGCTTGGCCTGCTCGAGGGCCTCGCGGCCCTAGGCCTGGCGCTGGCGAGCCGTCATGGGCGCCGCGGCCGCCTGCTCCACGGCAGTCTTCGCCTGCTCCAGCTGCTCGGCAGCCTCCTGGTCCGCTGCAGCCTTCGCGGCCGCCTGCTTGTCGAGCTTCTCCAGCCTCCAGATGCATGACTGCAGGACCTGCGAGTAGGTCTTGGGCTTGAATTCCTTGGCGGGCTGCGGCGACGAGGCCAGCTTGGCGCGGTCCTGGTCGCTGATGACCACGCCCTTGTCCGCGAACAAGGCCGGGCAAGCCGCGGCGACCTTCTCGCTGAGGGCCCCGCCTGGAGCTGCCGCTGGCTCCCGCGGCTTCTGCGTCCCTGGCGCGTCCGCCGCTTGGCCGCCCTGCGGCAACTCCTTGCGGCGCCCCGTGTCGCGTCCTCCTCCTGCGGGGGCCTGGCCGTCGCCCGACTTGGTGCCAGCAGCCTTCTCAGCGCGTGCTGGCGCGCCGACGTCGACTCCGCCCGCCCGCAGGAACGGCGGGCCAGCCTGCAAGCCCAGTTGCCGTCAGTGCCGCACTTGCAGCCCCAGAACGGCTTGCGAGGGCCAGGCAGGATGACGGCGTCGTTGGGCCGTGGCGGCTGGCTCGGCTGGTGCCGAGGCGCTGGCGTGAACCGTGGGCCGCCGCCGCCGCGGCCCCCGAGGGCGCTGCCGCCGCCGCGTCCCTGGGAGCGCGGAGGGGCGGCATGCCGCGGCGCCCCGCTCGGAGCTATCGCAGAAGCCCACATGTGTACGTTTTTTTTTGTTCCTCTCTCTCTCTCTCTCTCTTTTTTTCTTCTCTCTTTCTCTCTGTCTGCCAGATTGGCACACGCGAGCGCGCCGCTTTGAAGTGCGTTCGTGCAAGACCCGCCACCCTTGGGAGAACCCAGAACGGCTTTCTTTAGCCAAAATGGCAATGGATCTCCTCCTCTTCTTGCTCCTCCTCTTCCTCCTCCTCCTCTTGCTCCTCCTCCTCTTCCTCCTCCTCCCCTTCTCCTCCTCCTCCCCCTTCCCCGTCCTCCTCCTCCTCCTCCTCCTCCTCCTCCTCCTTCTCCTCCTCCTCCTCCTCCTCCTCCTCCTCCTCCTCCCCCCTGGCAGAATCTGAGGAGGACCGCCTGAGACAACCGCAGCTCTCCCGCCTGGCTTCCCCCCTGATGATCGAGGACTTGGGCTCCAGGGGAGCCAACGCGGGAAAGGGCACGGCGGCGGATACTGACGCTGAATCGCTCGTCTTGAAACACGCCTGTAACTCATCGCTTTTTGTTTTGCCTTGGGGGAGGCTTTAAGGCCATCGTGGAACCGCAAAGTGGGGTCCATGCTTTGCAATTTTTCGGCGGCATGCCCGGGGGACGTGATTTGGGGCGGGCCTGCTAAGAAGGCTCAGAAGTTCCCCGGCCGTCTGAGAAATTTTCCAAACCTTCCCCGAACGCTTCTGAGAAACCAGCCCCGCCGCCTTCTGAGAAGGCCTTCTCCTTTTCACTTCCTCTCCTCGTTCGCCGCCGAATCCCACCAGCCCTCTGGGTTGGGCGTAGGTGATCTAGGGTGTTTCCTCTTCGAACCCCCTTCTTTCCCTTAGGGGAGGGGTTTGCCTCTCCCCCCCTCCCCTGGACGTGGACTGGGCGCCTCGCGAGGTGTCAGAGGGCATTTGTTCGCTCAGGATGGCTCCAAGAGGGCCTCAGAGAGCCGAAGATGACTTCCGAGATGGCTCAAGATAGCCCAAAAATCCTCAAGTCGGCTCCCAAGATGCTCCAAGAGGCCCCAAGAACGCTCCAAGACGGCTCCAAGAGGCCCCCGAGACCTCCAAACAGGCTTCCAGGAAATCAAATCCTTCCAAAACCTAAGGCACATTCATTTTTTTGTTTTTTGCTTTCTGGCCTTTTTCGCTTCCGATGGCCATCCGAGGCCTCAAGATGGTTACAGGATGACCCAAGAGAGCCCCAGGAGAGACCCAAGAGAGCCCCCAAACGGCCCCAAGAGCGCCAAAGAACGCTCCAAGAGTGCCCCAAGAGCGATCCAAAGGCGACTTTTGGGGCTCCCCAGGGGGGGGGGGGCGAATTAGGGAACCCCTCTTCTTTGATCGATCTCTTCCAAGATGGCCCCAAAAGCGCTCCTGAGGCTCCCAAGAGCGCCCCAAGATGGCCCCAAGAGGCGCCTAGACGACCCCAAGAGGCGCCCAAGATGCCCCCAAAAGGCTACCAAAAGGCCTCCGAGAGGCTTCAAGAGGATCCCCGAGGCACCCAAGACGCTCAAAGACGGCCTTGGGCTCGCCAAGATGCCCCTCCTCCTCCTCCTCCTCCTCCTCTTCCTCCTTGTCCACTGTCTCTTCCTCCTTCCTCCTCTTCGCCCTCCTTCTTCCTTCTTCTCCACCTCGTCCTTCTCCTCCACCATCCTCCCTCTCTTGGAGTATCGGACGGCTTCCCCCGCCTTTTGTTCTTCTGCATGCTCCCTCACTTCACTGATCACCTCAACTCCTTTGGGCATCGTTTCTGGATGGGCTGGTGGGGATACTTCTTCCCTCGCAGCCGCAGGCCAAGGCGCACAGCGGCGTCACAAGTCAGCTCGGGCTACGAGTAAAACTAATTAACCTAGCGCGCGCACAGGCGGCCGCATAACTACCGCCGAGGGACTCTGAGCAAAAGCTGGTGGGGACATTGTTTTCGGTCGCGTCCGCGAGCGAAAGCGCAGGCGGAGACAGAAGCGGTCCGGGGCACGGAAACATACCGAATTAGCTGCATGGCTGGTGGGGATACGCGACGCTTCACACATTACTGGGGACTGCTTAGGAGATTGTCTTTTCAGTGTCCAACGATCACCCGGATTATCTGGCCCGCCCGCTTCCCCCCCGGGGACATAGCCTGACCTCGTCGGCTGCGTGGGTCCGAAGGGGGGTACGCAGTAGTGGTGCTCGTGGGAACACTTGGGGCTGCCCAGAGCGAATTTGGTTTTGGTCATCGGCTGGCACCGCCCCCCTCCCCGGCCGTCGGCGGCGAGCGAGGGGGGAAATGAGAATCAGAAGGCCTTCTCAGAAGGCGGCGGGGCTTCTCAGAAGCGCTCTGTTCCTCTGAGAGCTTTTCGGTGTCGTCGCGAAAGGCTTGGAAAACTTCTCAGAAGGCCGGGGGACTTCCGAGCCTTCCGAGAAGGCCCGCCACTTCTCACTTCCTCCCCTCGCTCGCTGCCGACCGGATAACCCGGGGCATCGCCGAACAATTATTGACGTTTTCCAGGATTCTTTGGAGCCTTGGAGGACATCTGAGTCCTTATCGAGCTCATTTTGGGCCCACTCCGCGGCCTCGAGGGCCTGGCTGACCGCTGCGATCGCTTTCAGGGGCCAGGAGGTGCGTCGAGGACCGAGTCGCTAGGCCCCCCGTTCCCCACAGGCTGGACTTTTGAGCCCGTGGAGGGGCGGAGCAGGGCGAGGGGGACAGCCAAATACCTGACCCATCCTGGTGATCAGTTTTTGGCCACCCGCCCTGGGCTTGATCTCTGGATGTGCGGACGCAGTTTCATCTTCTCTCCTTCTTCGTGCTTCCCTTCCTCCCTTCTTCGTCGCCCTATCCCCATCCTTCCTCGTCGCCGTCTTCCCCCCCGCCCATCAGCGCGGAAGCTGGCATGTTTCTTCATCCGAGCTGCAGCTCGTTGTCTTTCCTCGCCCTCTGTTTCCTTCGAGGGAATCGAACTATGCCTTACCCCTCCTGTCAAATGGTGGTCAGCGGGTTGGAGCATAGCGTGCGCTGTGGGCACTGGCTTCGGCCCCATTCTGGTGGCCACAACGGCATTTCTTCCCGGTGCCGACAGCTGGGATGTGGGCAGACAGAGTGCTATTCCGATGCTTCTCCTGTGCCTCCTCGAATTTGCGCTGTTTGTCCTGCACGTGATGCAGTTCCCTGAAGCTGTCACCAGCGCCAAGAAGACCGCGGCGTCCGCTAGAGAGGTGGTCCCGATGTCGCGGGCAGACCGGACGTGGAAAGTTGCTACGACCGTCTTCCTCGGCTTCGTCCGTCACTTGGTGCGCTCCGCGTGGGAGGCCATCGTGTCTCTCGCTCTGGAGGACCACTTTCGCCTCTTGCTCTTGAGGAGGAGGAAGGTCGAGGAGGAGTCATCAAAATTCGTTCCCTACACCACCTCCTCTGCGCCACTTCCCCTCCCCCTTCCCCCCCTCTTTCTCTCTCCTCCTCCTCCTCCTCCTCCTCCTCCTCCTCTTCCTCCTCCTCTCTCCTCTAGATGCACATTGTGAACACTATTCTCCTATCTCTCCCGACTCCGTCCAGAAGATGGCGGGTCTTTTCCGCGTATTGTCTTCTGTATCCAGAATTAGACAGGTGTTCCTT